CTCCTAGAGCAGTGGTCCCCAAACTGTGGGTCGTGCCCCCCTAGAGGGTGTGGAGGAACATTTGGGGGCAGGGCAAGGCCTGGACCAGTCCCCATGGGTGGCGGGAAGGGAATGTTACCCAGCCCTGCTCTGCCCCCAGCTCCACTCTGGTCCCACGCTAATCCCCAATTGGAGTTCCGGCCTCAGGCACTGACTCCTGGCCATGTGTAGAACTGATGAATGAAATTGTTTTTAATTGTTCACTTTATTAATGTAACTTCATAAGTAAAGTTTTATTAATGAAACAATATTCATTCATAAAACCGGTTACCCCAATAACTGGCTAATTAACAGTTAAGATGCTTGTTAAGAGCCATAGCTGTTCAGTCAGCTGCCTTTGTAAGTTTCACTATCAATCTAATTCCTGCTTAAATCACTGAGACTTGCACTGTTTCAGTATTGTAATTTCTGTTCACCATTTATTACACTTGCCTACAGTGTAACTTCTGTTCACTGTTTGCCATCTATTATACTTGTCTATATTGTAACTTCTGTTCACTGTTTGCCATATTGTAATTCAAACCCCATTTTACAACGCTTACTCCATTTTGTAAGGGCTTGCTGCAACCTTCATTTTTGCAAACCCTGCTGTAATCTTATTAGTTTAGTTTAGATGTGTGAATAAGGTATGTATGGATGATGGAATCAACCTCCAGCCCCAGCCTCTCCTGATTAAATAGAGTTCAAACACCAACGGCTGAAGATGCAGACAGGAGCCCTAACAAAGTAAGAAGAATCCACCCTAAAAAGAAAAGGTACAATAGAAGGAAGATCAAAGCCCGGTCCCAGGCTGAAAGTCATGTCTGCAATTGACGGGTGATCAATCACCAAACCCGGAGGCAGCGTGACACAGCAAGACCTATAGACTCTGGATTCAAACTAAAGCCTACAAAAAGGATGGGTGAGATGGAAAACTTTGGAGGAGGGTAACATTCTGCTGCCAACATGGAAGGACATCAGTCCATGCCCAACAGAGACCCAGCTCGTCCTTGTGCCCGGCTTTCCTGGCCAGTTAGCCGCCACAAGCTACGAACCCAAGCTGCAAACTCAAGCGGGACTGGTAACTATGCAGCAGCTGCAGAACATCTGATGGATGTGTGTGTGTGTGTGTGAATGTGTGTGTGTGTGTATAGGTATAATGTGTGTGTATAAGGATTAAGATATTAGTTATTGGTCATAAATCAAATTGTTATCATAATAAATGTGGCATCTTTATGTTAGGCCCAAAAATATGGAGTATAGAACATTGTTTGGCCAGCTTAGCCAAAGTCAGGCTAACAGTAGTTGCTAGGCCATTCCTGCCTCTCTGTAAGACCTGAGGGCATGCTTGCTTAAGCTGCAGGGGATAAGATAGGAGGTGGGGGCCGCATTCTTGTACCAGAAGTGCTAGGAACAGTTTGTTGGACAGATGGAGACTTGCAGTCTTCACTCCCTGTTTCTGTTTTTTATCTGTACTCAACTCCCTCTTTTCTCTCAGTCTTTGGTGCATGACGACAAAACTGATAAGAAGCTACTGAGGCATCATGAACTGTTTGTACTGTCAAAAGGATAGAGATGCATGAATATTAGAAGCTTTTAACTAGTAAAGGGGGGAGATTGGGTTGTTTTAACTATGACGCGACGGAACTGTCTATATAATCTCACTAGTTATTGTAATCGTGGCTGGTTCTCTCTGGAGACGGGCCGCTCTCTATTGCTGTGTGCACTCTTCAATAAAGAGCTTGTGTTGGACCTTGCTGGTGTTGCCTGTCTCTCACTCTGCGGTCAGACAACGAACCTTGCCGTCTGGGTTAAAAAGTCCCCGACATTTATCTTGTCCCCTTTAATAAGATCCTGCTAGTTTTTATTGGTATAACACATGCTACAGGCTGCTACCCCAGCTGCAGCTCCAGCCCCAACTGTGGTTCCGCCCCCGGCCGAACCCCCATCTCCCAGCCCCAACTGCAGCCCCAGCTGCAGCTTGGGCTGCACCAGCGGCTTCATTCCCGGGTGAAGCCCACAGCTCCCGGCCCCAACTGCGGGTCCAGTCCCAGCCACGGCCCCCAGATCCTGGCCCCAATTGCAGCCCCGTTCCTGACACAGCTCCTGACTGCAGCTCCCGGGATGGGGTCGCAAACCAGGTAAGGGAGGGCATGACCAAAAATGTTTGGGGACCACTGTCCTAGACAGAGGAGCTCCCCTAAGGGGGAGGAGCTGCCAGAGATGACAATGACAGCAGCACCTGTAGCAGGACAGAGCCCTGGAGAGCTGCACCCGGCCAGAGAAAGTGGATGCACAGAATAAAGGCACAGTCTGAAATGACCCCAGCGCCAGGAAGGGGGGCTGGAGTCATCTGATTCCACGATGGAAACTAATCCAAGCTCAGCTCCGGGAAGGACTGAGGACTCCTGACTTGAGGACAGTGAGGAGCTGGAGTGAGAGCTGGAGGCTGGAGCAGAGTGAAGGAAAAGATTTTATTTTGGGGTTTACTTGGACTCAGAGCAGACCCCAGCAGGAGACTTTTCTCTCAGATCTTTTAGACTGTGAGGCATAATTTAAGGAGTGCAGAAGAGGGTAAACTGAGGCAAGTTGCTTGCCAAGACACCCTGAAATGGCTGAGGGTGGTACCTGAGGACGCTGCCCCATGTTGAGTCCACAAAACTGAAACCCATTTAACAGAATTGCTGCCCCTTCCCCATGCAAACAGAGCCGCTCTCTTCAGTCTGTCTGCGTGGGCCCCTCACCGCATCTGACCCCAACAGAGCCTGCATCACAGAGTGGGAACCTGGACCGAACGCAGCACAGGGTTTTGGGCACCCACCTGGCTTCCACGATCCCTGTCCCAGCTCCCAGGCTGCTCCCACTCCCCCACAGCCTCCAGCTCCCCCCATCCTCGGGCTGCCTCTGCCCTGTCCTGTTCCCTGGGGGTGACCCAGTGCCCAGCATGGAGCCATCAGGGTCACTACAATACTGTCTGCCACACCCAGAAGACAGGCACAGGATGGGCTCAGGGAGTGGCTGGCCCCACAATGGGACCCTTGTGCCCCCTCCCCCAGTGTTTGCTGCTGCCCTTGCTGGGCCTTGTCTGCACTCAGACCAGGAGCCCTGTGGGGCTGGCAGCCCCTTGTTCTGTCTCTGCGGTTACTGGCGCACTCGTGGGCGCTATATCAATAATAACACTCACTGCCCAGCCCCTAAGGGCTGCATGACAGCGCGGGGCCTTCCCCATTGCACACGGGGACCCTGGGGCGCAGGGAGCCCTGGTTACTCTGTCCCACACATTCACTCAGCGAATCCCTCCTAGCTGCCGGACCCGGGTCCCTGGGGTCAGAGCGCGGGCAGTCGAGTGGCACTGACCATCCGGGGCTGCTGGGGTGGGTGAAAGGAAAGGGTTAATCCCAGCGTGGTGGCACTTTGCTGCCCAGCCCTGGTTGGTCTCTGCCTTCTGGGTGCAGCACAGGGCGTGTGTCTCTGAGCAGGTCCCTGTCCACTCACCCGCCATTTGCCCCAGACACAGAGAATCCAGGTGCCAAGGGAAGGAGCAGCCCCAGCAGCGCCGCATTGGCCCTGGCACGTGCTGAGCCTGCGAGCGCAGCAGCAGAGGCAGCGACAGAGAGAGGGGCTCAGCCATTGAGAGCAACAGGGTTCCCACCCGCAGGGGAGGGGTCAGCATTGGGACAACAGGCCGGGCTGGGTCAGGGGCTGGGAGCTCTGACAGCGAGCACGGTGCCAGCACCAACAGCCCTGCTGGAGACCCTGGGCCTGGCCAGCCTGGAGCAGCCAGCGAGTGTCTCAGGGCCTGGGACCCTGCCCAGGAAGGGGCTTCTGGGGGGCTGAGAGGAGGCTCCCCAGGAGCTGGTGATCCCCTCGAACAAGGCACTGGGGTGACTGGCTCAGGATCCCGACAGGCTCAGGGGCCAGGGGTGTGGAATGGCCCAGAGCCCAGCCGTGTTCAGGGTCCAGTGGGCACAGACTGAACTGGGCTGGGAGCAGTGAACGGGGAGGGGAGCAGGGATGTGCTGGCTCCAGCCAGTCACAGAGAGGAAGCTGCTTCCCCCAGAGCCTGGGGTTCCTGCTCCCCGGAGCCCTGAGATCCTGGCCCTGCAGCCGGCACTGACTGTGCAGCCTCCATCGGCCGGGACAGACACACCCAGCTTGGCCCCTTCGACTGCCCCCTGATGGGGGTGGGTGGGAAGAGAGGAGCGGTGGGGGTAGGATGAAAGGGCCAGTTCAACAATCACTGACCGAGCTCACTGAACCTTCCCAGTCCCCCTCTCCTCTGCCTTAGTTTCTTCTCTGTCCCTCCGAACTGTTAGATTTCTGCCTTTGCCCCTGGTCTCCGCGCTGGGGTTGTGGGGAGGGGTTTGGATGGGGGCAGCTCACGCTCAGCCATTGTGACAGGGTCACACTCTTGTGAGTCTCACTCACTGAGCAGCAAACCACTGACCCAACCTCACACTGGGCTGTGCTCAGAGCAGATGAGGGGCCCGTAGGATTCAGCTTGTTACCCAGTAACACACGGCTCAGGTCAGACCACAGCAGACAGACCGGCCCCTTCTCCAGCTCAGAAAGCTTGGTCAGCCTTGGCTAATGGGGGCTGGGGCAGTGCTGAGCAGTGACCAAACAACACAGCCCTCACGTGTCCCAGGAGAGAGGCACAGACACGTCATCCATTACCAGTCTGTGCAGCACCCAGCACAATGGGCTCAGTCCAGGCCTCACAGCACCTGGCTCAGGGACATCCATTAACTCAGCCATGGAGGGGTCAGGATGTCAGAGTGATGGGGCCTGGTCAGACACCTGGGCAAGTACCAGCAGGTGGCTGTAAGTAGCAGGCAAACTGCCCAGCACTCAGCACATCAGCCTCCAGCTACCACACAGCTCCAAACCTGTCAACTGGGTCCATGCGTGTCCTGGGGTCCCAGGCTCTGTCCAGATCCCCAGGCACAATACAGCTGAATGTCCCAGTAGACTCCACTCACCTCCAAATTTCTTCAGTGCTTCCCTCATGTCAAGGGAAATTTTATACACGTTCTTCAGGCCAGTAGAAACAGCTTCTGGTTCCTGGAGTTTCACATTCTCACTCCTATGAAGAAAACATCCCGTCATCACTCAGCTGCTCTGTACACACATCATCCCAGAACCACCACCACGAATATAAGAGCAATGAAAATGGGAAACACACCTGCTCAATGTGCTTTTCACATCCTGAAAGGAAAAAGAGAATCAATGTTCTGTACTAACACAATGTGCATAAAACTGAGTGAGTCTCACTCTGGGCATCAAACTTTCATCTAGAAAATAGATCAACCCTCCCAGGCTCCACTGTTTTGTAGTAAAATCTCATACACCATTTTGCATTAACACTTGTTTCATTTATGTAGGTGAGACAGGAATTTAGCTAAAGGGTTCTCTCTTCCAGGGACCCAACCCATCAGTATCTGTGTTTATTGACTGTGTTGGGTCCAATGTTCTGGGGTCAGAGCAGGGATGGGTTTAGCTCAGTATCATTTTTGTATCATCCATTTAATCTCTCACGGCCTCACTGGGTCTCCAGGAGGAGAATTCCCCTCTGACATGAACTGCGATATTTTGGAACTGAGGGAGCCCTTAGCCGGATGTTCTGTTAGTCAGTAACCACAGACACATTTACTCTCATTGTTGGGATCCAGACCCAGGGATCTGAGTTCTAATTCTGCATAGGTGGAGAATTTTGATGCCGTCTCACCTTTAGCAGCTCGACAACTGGTTGCTGACACTTCTCCTCGATCTCTGTGATCAGCTGCTGCAGAGAGGAGCTTTGCTGGGAGAGTTTGGTGACATTTTCCCTTAGTCTCTGCAGAGTTTCCCTCTCCTCCTCCTCCAGGCTCTGCAGAAGCAGCTGCTCCTCCTCTCTCAGCAGTGTGTGCAGCTTGTTAAATTCACCTGCAATCATCTCTCTCTTATTCTTCACGTTCCTCTGGAGATAGAAAAATAGGCACTTAGACAACTCGGGTACAGCCCTGATAAGCCCCAGCTCCCTCAGGAGCCCCTGCTGGCACCTCCCCGAGGCTTTGTGCATGTGGCCTGGACCCTGCAAAGGGCCATGGGCCTGCAGCCTCCTTCCCCTCCTGCCCCCGGGAGCTGTTGAGTTACAGCTAATTCGAGTGGCGCAGCGTTATCGTATCCCGAACATCTCCCCCCATCAGACATGGACAGCGCATCCTTCATGGGGCCTGTCACCTCCCGGCCCTGCTCCGCCCATGGGGATACCCCCACCTGGCTCAGGCCCATGACAGTCCCGCTCAGTGGGTGACTGGCAGCCCCTGCTGGGCCTCGTCTCACAGTCGCTGGGGCTGCAGTTACTCTGCCGAGTGACACTGATCATTGGGCCGTGACCTCTGGTGATGTAGGACGTAACTTGCTCTCACGGGGCAATAATCAATGGTTTCAGAACTACCCCAGTGACTGTCCCAAGGGGCAGCCGTCTCCATGGCGCCGGCTGGGCACTTTACCGGACACATTCAAACCTGGCTGTTAATTGTTATGCACCTAAATCCCTATTGTCTGGGGAACTGAGCACCAGCTGCTTCTGGTGCGGGCAGTGGGAGCTGCTGCGGTTCTGTCCTCTGGAAATCAGCCACTTCCGCCGCGCTCTAAATACGGCTTCAGATGCAGAACCAGAGGCACCCAGCTCTGAGCATTTCAGCTCTTGTAAATGGCCATTTTTATCTGAATAGTGGGACACCTACTTCTCCTCTTATTCCTGCTGCTGGCATCTTCCTCATACCCCCCACGCTCTCTGCAGGGATTTCACTATAAGAGGCAGGTGAACCGGAACAGACATTTTGTCCCCTAGGTTCATCACCTGGCTACAGACAAGCACAGGTAAAGTCACAGTAACAGTAGCAGGTGACTGGGATGAAGTGGCCACGTGATGGCAACAGAGGCTGTGAAGTGGCCGAGCGCTGCCTGGCTTTACACTGACACGCCCCTGCTCACTCAGGAGTTGTCCACACTGCAATGAAGGTTTTTTTTTTGTTTTGTTTTTTAAATTGGAGATGTCCTATCTCCTAGAACTGGAAGGGACCTTGAAAGGTCATCGAGTCCAGCCCCCTGCCTTCACTAGCAGGACCAAGTACTGATTTTGCCCCAGATCCCTAAGTGGCCCCCTCAAGGATTGAACTCACAACCCTGGGTTTAGCAGGCCAATGCTCAAACCACTGAACTCTCCCTCCCCCCCCAAGGACAGCACCATGTGTAGACACACCCAGGCTAGCTTTGATCTGGCTAGCTCGGGTACTGGTAGCTATGAAGCCCCAGCGGCACGGGCTGTACACGCCCACCCAGACCCCTGGGTGTTACTCAGTGACTAGCCTGCAGCTGGCTGTTTTGGCCATGTAGATGCAGCCTGGGGGCAGATTTTCCACAGAGCTCCACACCCACAACTGGGTTTGATGCTCAGAAGAGCTCAGCTCCCAGCATGGCCCAGCCCAGCCAGCTGAGTGACTCTGAACCTCATCCATGGGGGCAAATCCTCCTCCCAGCTCCAATGTCTGGCCCAGGCACTGGGCAGAGTCACTGCAGGGATTGTGGGTGCAGAGCGAGAGGGAACAATCTGTTTCCTCCAGGCTGCAGAGAAGCTGCAGAGCTTTGTCATGGAGGGCATTGAAAACCGATGGCTGTAGCAGCCGACACACCATCCCCATCTGCAGGAGGGAAACAAGATCCATGGAATAGTGAAAACACTGCACCCAATATTGAGAATTTGCCCCTATCAGAGATCTCAGGGGTCGGTCTGCCCCAGTGTACAAGGGCCAGGAACTGCCCCTCCTCCGCCTACAGGAGCTGCTGCGCTGAGATCCCCACCAGACACAGCCTGATGCTGCCAGCACCCTGGATGGCAGGTACCATAGGCCAGGGGAGGCAGAGCCCCCTCAAACAGGCTGCAGCGCCCCTCCCTTTGGAGGCAGGCTGCAGACCTGCCGCCTTTGGAGTGCTGCCTGCGCTCTGCTCACAGCCCTCGCTCCCGCTCTTCCCCCGAAGCACCTGCTGCTTGCCGCCCGTCAGCTGTGTACGGGCCCCCGCCACTTGCTCCTCTCCACCCCCCGTCACTTGCCCTTAAGACAGGAGGGGGCAGAAAGGAGCAAGCGGCAGGTGAGGGGGCCTTGGGGGAGGGGGTGGAGGAGAGGAGTGAACTGCAACAGTGAACAGTGAGCCTCTGGGTAGGGGGCTAAGTGGGAGCGGGCCATGGGGCAGAGCAGGAGCGGAGCATGGGCGGGGTCTAGGGGAGAGGAGGACAGAGGGGGTGGAGCAGTGGGCAGGGCGATGATCCAAGTGCAGGGAAGGTTCCGGCACTCACGCCCGGCCTCCCCAAATGCCGGAGGCATGTGCTGCCCATGGCCGGCACCAACCCTGTGCAACAGAGCAAACAACCAGAGCAGGTTCATAACCTCATCCTGGAGCTTTACG